GAAAAAAGAAGATTTTAGAAGAAAGAAAACATCAAATGGTAAGTCTATTTTTTTTTTACAGGTATTTAGACAAGGGTCCCCATCATTATTTTTAGGTAGGGGTCATTTATTTTGGGGGGATGGGGGTGACTAGTAGTTTGGGGGTCCAAAAAAACTAATGTTCGGTACGAACCCAAACTTTTCAGTTCGGGTTCACTCAACTCTACTTGTTAACCTTTTTCACCCCTAAAGCACTGAACAAAATGCAGAACGACCGACCACCCTGCATGTGGAGTGTGCTGCTTGTTATCCTCCCAGAAGCTGTGGTTAACCGCAGCTTAATTGCCGAACGGCTGGGTGGTCGTCATTCGTATGATTGAACACGTGGCGGCAGCCATCTTAAACTGCCGAACGCCCAGCGGTGTTTTGTCGTCGACCGCATGGAACTGTTTTCGGTCACTGGTTTTACAAGAACACCACTGGGATCTCCAAACTTCCTTCCCTTAGCTTATCTTCATACGAACGCAGCGTCATTCGGCACAGTCATAATCCACTAATTAGACCGACCCTGATGACTGCAAGCCATGGAACTAATTCTGGACAGACTTATGCCAAACGGTCAGTGGGAACACTTTAACCCCATGGCAATCCAACTGTGTTCGTGGGATCTGAGCACTTTTCGGAAATATTGAGCGCTCAGATCCACGCTATGGGGATATGTCAAATGTGGGGGTTTAGTGACTTGGAATATGAGTTATGTATTTTTATGTGTTTTTGGTTACAGTATTAACTTAGAGATATTTTCTATACCTAAAGATAATTAAGTTACTATTGCCACTTAAGCCAATTATCTCCAGGATAGAGGGGAGGGTTTGGGAAAATGCACATTGTTGTGATTGGTTCATGTTACCTGTGTTTCAGTGCCCCACCAGGTCCCATGGGGAGTTCCCCTGGCATGGAAAACTTGTGTAAAGATGATGCCTGTACCCATTAAAACCCTGAACACGCAGCCTCAACTCGGGTTGTAGGGAAATAACAGATGCAGAACCCCAGTCCCTTTTGTCCCCTGTTCCTGCCACCCATCTTCAGGGTTTTCCATCTCTGGTGAGGGGTCTTTATCCCATGAGCCTCTGTACCTGGGAGCCCCCACATGGGAAAGCTTCCTGCCTCCTGGACTTCCAGTTACAGACAGCCATTTTCCTCAAAGAGTGTCTCCACCAATCTCAGGGACCACCAGGATGGTAACCACTAGGAACAGCCTCCGTTCACAGGGTTCCTGGGTGAAACCAGGCAAGGGAAGCGTCTCCTTTCGGAACGAACCGCGGCCACCCAGGGGAGCACTCATGAATTACTTCCTTTGTGGTTTCACAGTTATGTTGCAAGTTGCCAACTGTTAAGACACCCCTGGTGCCTGTGAGGGAAACCGCCGTTTAGTTAAGCTTCCCCCTTCGCAATCTCACTATCCCCGTTCGCATAGACTGCTATATACGAACCACCATCAGGGGAAGCGGTAATCTCCCGAACGGGATCCGTAAGCGGTTCCAGACTCCCGAACATAAATCCACGAACCGTCGCTAGCCGCCGAACAAATATATCCACCAAGCGGCTTGCAGCTCCAGCAGTCAGTCTCTAGTCGTCGGTAATAAATCCCCCCAATGACGAGACAGTGTTACGGTTACCCACCAATAACGAGACTACGCTCCGCATTGTGGGTAAAATAAGATCTGGCTTTACTGTGGGCTACCCGTCCGTATTTATGCAGGTCTCCCACTTGGTGGACACTCCCCTAGGGGACCAAATGGGAGACTGTGATGGCAGATGGACCCATGGACATTTCTGACATACGGGCACAAACTTTTCCCACAATGCAATATGGTTTCCTCCCCTCTGCCCTGGAGATAATTGAGAAGTAATTCAATTATCTCCAGGACAAAGACAAATCGTCATCTTAAGTAAAATACCAGAAAACACACAAAAATACATAATTCCACAACTACCGAACATTTTACATTCGTATCACATATCCCCAGATAGCCTGGATCTGAGGGCATATTATTAGTGAATAGTGATGTACCGAACGGTTCGCAGGCGAACGGTTCCTGGCGAACATAGCATGTTCGCGTTCGCCACGGAGGGCGAACATATGCGCGGTTCGACCTGCCCCCTATTCGTCATCAACTTTGACCCTGTACCTCACAGTCAGCAGACACATTCCAGCCAATTAGCAGCACACCCTCCCTAGCAGACCCTCCCACCTCCTGGAAGGCATCCATTTTAGATTCATTCTCAAGCTGCATGCTTAGTAAGAGGAGGGAAAGTGTAGCTGCTGTTCATAAAATAGGGAAAAGCATAGCGAGGTTAGGGATAAGGGTATGCTTTTTTTTAATTTATTTTTTCTATGTAATGTAATTGCACTTAGTTGTCTGCCACTGCTGCCAGCTTCTGTGTCAGGCTCACAGTGCATACTGTGCCCATTTCCCCAGTCAGTGCCACCACTTACATCTGGTGTCACAGTAGCTTGGATTTAAAAACAAAAAACTTTTTTCACTGTTATAGATTGAATAGCAGTCAGTTGTCTGCCACTGCTGCCAGCTTCTGTGTCGGGCTCACAGTGCATACTGTGCCCATTTCCCCAGTCAGTGCCACCAATTACATCTGGTGTCACAATAGCTTGGATTTAAAAACAAAAAACTTTTTTCACTGTTATAGATTGAATAGCAGTCAGTTGTCTGCCACTGCTGCCAGCTTCTGTGTCAGGCTCAAAGTGCATACTGTGCCCATTTCCCCAGTCAGTGCCACCAAATACATCTGGTGTCACAATAGCTTGGATTTAAAAAAAAAAACTTTTTTCACTGGTATAGATTGAATAGCAGTCAGTTGTCTGCCACTGCTGCCAGCTTCTGTGTCAGGCTCACAGTGCATACTGTGCCCATTTCCCCAGTCAGTGCCACCAATTACATCTGGTGTCACAATAGCTTGGATTTAAAAACAAAAAACTTTTTTTACTGTTATAGATTGAATAGCAGTCAGTGTCCTTAAGCGGGTGTGTTACGCTAACAGTGGATACGCTGACAAGTGCCACCAATTAGATCTGGTGACACAAAGCTTGGATTTAAAAAAACAAAACACTTTTTTCACTGTTATAGATTGAATAGCAGTCAGTGTCCTTAAAGCGGGTGTGTTACGCTAACAGTGGATACGCTGACCAGTGCCACCAATTAGATCTGGTGACACAAAGCTTGGATTTAAAAAATCAAAACACTTTTTTCACTGTTATAGATTGAATAGCAGTCAGTGTCCTTAAAGCGGGTGTGTTACGCTAACAGTGGATACGGTGACCAGTGCCACCACTTATATCTGGTGACACAAAGCTTGGATTTAAAAACAAAAAACTTTTTTCACTGTTATAGATTGAATAGCAGTTAGTTATCTTGAAGCAGGTGTGTTACGCTAACAGTGGATACGGTGACCAGTGCCACCACTTAGATCTGGTGACACAAAGCTTGTATTTAAAAAAAAAAAAACACTTTTTCACTGTTATAGATTGAATAGCAGTCAGTGTCCTTAAAGCGGGTGTGTTACGCTAACAGTGGATACGGTGACCAGTGCCACCACTTAGATCTGGTGACACAATAGCTTGTATTTAAAAACAAAAAACTTTTTTCACTGTTATAGATTGAATAGCAGTCAGTGTCCTTAAAGCGGGTGTGTTACGCTAACAGTGGATACGGTGACCAGTGCCACCACTTAGATCTGGTGTCACAATAGCTTGGATTTAAAAACAAAAAACTTTTTTCACTGTTATAGATTGAATAGCAGTCAGTGTCCTTAAAGCGGGTGTGTTACGCTAACAGTGGATACGTTGACCAGTGCCACCACTTAGATCTGGTGACACAAAGCTTGTATTTAAAAAAAACAAACACTTTTTTCACTGTTATAGATTGAATAGCAGTCAGTGTCCTTAAAGCGGGTGTGTTACACTAACAGTGGATACGGTGACCAGTGCCACCACTTATATCTGATGACACAAAGCTTGGATTTAAAAACAAAAAACTTTTTTCACTGTTATAGATTGAATAGCAGTCAGTGTCCTTAAAGCGGGTGTGTTACGCTAACAGTGGATACGGTGACCAGTGCCACCACTTAGATCTGGTGACACAAAGCTTGTATTTATAAACAAAAAACACTTTTTTCACTGTTATAGATTGAATAGCAGTCAGTGTCCTTAAAGCGGGTGTGTTACGCTAAC